ATAGTTTTTAAGAAATCTACAGCTTGAAGAGTTCTGCAGAAAATATTAAGTTTCTACTTTTACTGAAATGTATGCTAGTTTATATAATAAAAATTATATTTCTATAATTTTTTATAAGCAGCATTTACTTATATATCTAAGCGGGTAAGAAATTAATAGACTGATCTGTCTGTAAAATACTGATCTATTTATTAAGATATTTAATTATTTTATAACTACTTAGCAAGTACTTACAAAGTACCTAGGACTATATCCAAGAATATTACCATGATCTACAGGATACTATGGTTCTATGTGGTTTTAAAGAATCAGTTCAACTACTTTCAACTCTTCCATCGTTTGAGATTGATATGTCTTTTAAAAGACTACAATTAAGAATAGTAAATAAGGTTTTTTTTATAACTTTTTTACCAGATCAGTGCAAAAGTAAGATTTTAATTTTATAATTACTTATTAAATAATGACTAATTATTTATAAAATAATTACTCTTTTCCGGGTTTTTACTTCACAGGACACAACTGATGGCTATTATTTACTTTTTCAGAGAGTATTTAATCTATTTATAAAGATTACTGGCCGGTAATTCTAATTTCAGTTTATTCATGGTACTGGTATCCAAGAAATTATTCTTGATATAGATTCTAAATAATATACTAGTAGATTAGCTATTTCTAAACTATTTATTAATTACTTATTAACTGCTTACTAATTACTTAGAACTTGGATAATATTTACAGAAAATTAATCCTGATTACTATACTATAGAATAGTAGCTTTCATACTTAATTATTTTTTATTAAGTTCATTTTTAATATATGATTTTAAAGGTCCTTGGGCCAGGATCTCAAGAAAATAAAACTTAGAGTTAAATAATAAGTCTTCTTAATTATATAAGTGCAGAAGACTATAACAAATATCTCAATTTTCTTAAAGATAAGTATTTATCAAGTACTTTATAAATACTTACTAACTACTTAATTAGATAATGAAAATGAGAATGTCTGTAACTAGACTAGATAAAAGAAAAGTCCTATAATTAAAACAGAATTAGTTCAAGCGTGCTTGTCTATTGAGCCATATATATAGATTTAATTATAAAAATATATTAATACAGTTAAATAATTATATCAAAAGTCCTATGCTGCAGGAAAGTTCTTGACTCTAGTTAAGATAATGAAAAAATAAGTATTTTATAAATAATTGTTAATTACTGGAAGAATATTTACTAATTACTTGATAATTCTGCTAAGCTAGATAAAGAGAATATTATTTAATAATAAAGTTATAACAGTTTAAATATCCATTATTTTTACTATACTGCTAGTATAGAATCTTTTTTTCTCTGCTATATTCAATGAGGTTAGTTTTAATTACTTATCAAGTACTTAGTAACTACTTAACTAATTTTAAATAAAGAAAAAAATCGGAAATATCAGTATTCTTCTGGTTCTAGTAAAGAGAGAGATTACTCTAGAGCCTGATTTATATAATCTTTTTTAAGAGTATCTTCACAATCCGAAGAAACTAGGTATATTAATTTAATTACTTAATAACTACTTAACAACTACTTATTAAGTACTTAGGACTGTTATTTCTAGGGATTTATAATATACTGTTTTAAATAATATTATTAATTTAGAGCAGAGACGCCAGGAACTTAAATTATAAAAATTAAAAGCAGAAATTAAAAAACAAAAAGAGAAAGTTTAAAAACAAGAGCTTAAGAATAAGATATAGAAGCTGGATCTAATTAAGTAATACAGACAGTTTTAAAATCTAGATTAATCTAGTTAATATAAGTACTTACTAATTACTTTATAACTACTTATTAAGTACTTAACTTCTTCTTTAATATTTTTAATATATATCTTTATATATAAGCCAGAATATATATTCTGTAAAGTATATTTACTATAGCCTTGGTAAATTATTCTTTCAAGTACTTATTAATTACTTGCTAACTGATTATCTATATATAAAACAGAAGGTCCAGCCTAATCAGGATCTAAGTATAGACTAGTTTATAAATAATTATTAATTACTTGTAAAATAGTTATTAACCACTTGTAAACTACTTCTTAATTAATTTATATTTTATTTTTTTTTTCTTATTCTTCTCTTCAGACTTCTTCTTATTCTCTTTCTTAAATTTCTTCTCAGATTTCTTATTATATTTATCTTACTTCTTCTCAGACTGCTTATTCTGTTCTTTATTATTCTTAGTATTATTCTTTTACTGTGAAGCTTCAGGTGCTAGATTACTATAATTAAATTATAGAAAATATATATATATTTATTTATTTTTATAGTAATTTTTTACAGTTAGATAAATACTACAGGGCAAAGAATAATTTATATTCTTGATCTTAGTATATATCTTAGTAATATAATAAGCCTAAGTACTTAATAAGTAATATTAATTAGTTAATAAATAGTTTATAAGTAATTATTAAATACTTATCTTTCCATCCTGGCGGAGGGGCAGAGGAGGATGAGATCTATTAATATTTAACTTTCTAAGAAAACTGGATATTAAGATTTAACCGGCAGAAGTAGCAGTCTTAGATCTTAGAGTATGAGTAGGTATAGATGTAGAAAATTGTTTTTCTGTAGTAAAGTTATTAAATAATTACTTGTACTATTCTTTTAAATAATTAATAAGTAATTAATAAATAACTAGTAAGTAATTTACTTACTAATAGTATTATCAACCTGCTTTTATAAGACCTGTTTCTTTTTATTACTAGCCTTGGCAATAAAATCCTCATGAGTTTATAAATATAAGTGCAGATTATTTATAGACAAGTACTGCTTCTTTTTTTAATAGTTAGTAAGTAATTAGTAAGTTATTAGTAAGTAATTGGTAAATCATTAACAAATAATTAAAAATATACTTATGATCTTCTTTGTACATCCCTCTATCTTATAAAAGATCTCCCTGTAATAGACTTTATACTCAAGATTATTATTCTAAATAGTTAGTAAATAATTGTTAACTACTTCGCAAGTATATAAATAAGATTTTATTAAAATGATACTAATCTGGATAGAAACAGGAAGTACCAGCTGGCCAGCAGCCATGGTATATAAGTATTATTTATAATAATTCTATTTTTATTAATAAAATCAGTTTAAAACTACTTTTCTCTTATATTAAGTAGTTATAAACTACTGAGAAAGTAGTTATACTTACATTTTCCTTGAGTTCAGCCATGGTGGTCAGTGGTGGTGGTGGTAGTAGTAGTATTAATAGATAGTAAGAAGATAGAAAGAAATGGTGCGATTTGAAATTATTATTATAGATAATATGACAGTCACATAATCTAAGAGTACTTACTAAGCCATTTTGGGTCGCGCCAGTGAATTAACGACCATCCCTCACCTGCACCCACTTTCCGAAGGGGTAGCTGTATCCAATCAACTCTTTCATATTCGTGAGCTATCAAGTAGCACCGTCAGGTACATCATCTAGTCTAAATGTACAAAACTATCCACTCATCATTCAGGTATTTTCATTCCTTTCCTCGTCGAGACTCAACTTGCGTTTAAGCAGAAGCGGATGCGGATGCAGAGGGGGTGGGGAGACCACCGTCAACAGCGTCCGGGTCACCATCGCAGGTACCGCAGACAGACTCGCCGCCACTGGCAGTGTACACGTTGGTCCAGTAGGGGTAGTGGATGGCCGAGGTGTTGACGGCAACAGTGAGGTAGGCGAACAGACCGTCCTCGAGGGAGTCACCCAGGTAGACGTAGTTCAGGAAGGGGTCGGTGTCGGCGTTCTCGGTCTCCACGGTGACCACGCGGTCGTCTGCGTTGGTAGTGATGGGGATCGAGTTGGTGTTGTAAGGGTAGGTGGACTCGACCTTGCTGATCATGTCCTGGTCCCAGAAGATCTGGCCAATGTGGGGGATGGATCCACCCGCCAGGGTGTTGTTGGGCAGCAGAGTAGCGCCCCAGTGCACAATGTTATGGTAGTGGGTGGTGCGGTCAGCATAGTGGCCGGGGAACAGGGTGTTGAAGGTCACCACACCGTCCTCATCGGTCTGCTGCACACCACGGAGGAAGGTGCGGTTGTAGTTGGCCAGGTCGTTGGAGTTACCGTTGCCATCAGCCACCAGGCCGGAGTAGACACCGGTGGCGTTGCAGCCCCAGATCTCGGTGTAGATGCCAGTGAGGGGCTGGCAGGTCTCGACGTCAATGAATTGCTGCTCGACGGTGACAGGAATACCCGGCTCGTTCTCACGGATGTCGCCGCGGATGTGCTCGCCGGGGATCCAGTAGGGTCCGGTTTCACCCTCAGCGCTGGGTCCGAGGAGGCAGATCTTCTTGTCATCGTTGAAGACCTCGGTCTCGGGGGTGCTGGACGAGATGGGACGGGTGGACAGGTGCGACTTGTTCAGCACCTCAGCGGTGTCGCCACGGGCCTGCAACTGACGGCGGTGCATATCGACCACGGCGCGGCGACGGGCCTCGGCGCGGGCGTGAAGGCCGCTGGCCTCCAGGCTGGCCTCACACTTCTGCAGACCGTGGGCCACACTGCGCTTGAAGGAGCGTTGCTGAAGGGCCTCACGCTCCTCATGGTGACCCGGGTGAGCGGTGGCCAGGAGGGCATTGCCGACGACGGCCAAGTTAAGGACGTTCTTGATTTGCATATTGAATCCGGGAGAAGAGTTGCAGAGATGCTTGACAATGTGAGGATGCTTGCGATGCGAGTGGGAGTCTGAAGAGGTATGTGGGAGGGTATGTCCAAGGGGTTTATATAGCTATCTTGGAGTGAGCTTGCGATCCCGATTCCTCTTCGGTACAATCAATATCACGCTGTGGTGGATAATAGTTTATTCGGCATCCTTGTCTCGATGCGACTGAAATTCTCGTGCAGCCGATCCGATACAGGTGCTTGTGGTGCACCGAGGGATGATCGTCCTGCAACCAAGGTCGATCACTTGGCATCAGTGTAGCAACCGATGGCGAGCTTAGCCCATGGTCCTCAGGTGTCTCCCTTAGGTTTCAATGAAGGCGAGGCCAATATACTCCGAAGGATGGAGCTAATGGAGACTGGATTATGTGGACTGTGATAGGCTGCAGATGCAAAAGAGATACCAGCCATGTAGAGAAGCATACTGAGTGAGCTGGCCAGACCGTCAGTAGCAGAAGGCCATCATGCCAGAGCGGCCGCTGTGAATGGCTGTGATGTAAACCTCCCACAATAGGATTCTTCCACCCACATTCTCTTCAGTCTGGGCATTGTGGGTGAGTGGATGAATTGATGGCGACTATCGTTCCAGGTTATCATAACCTAAGTTTCTGCAGAGATTCGGAGTGATGGAAGGATGCTGGGAATAGTAACCAGGGTGCCGGATGTGGAAGGCGCATAGACTTCAGGTTAGTGGTGCCAAGCCGCGATGGAGATGCCAAGCCAGCGTGCGGAAATCGGATTCGCCGAGAGAGACCGCGGAAGGAAGACCAACGCGAAATAATTCGCTGGGAAGTGCTGATCACGACGATCGGGGGCCATCCGACACGAACAATAATGCATTGTCTCTCACTGGCTGGCGGAGGACGTCCTGCAGATACCGGCGGGCCGAACGAGCTTTCCGGATAGTACTCAGCAGTTGTAATCCGTTAAAGAACACTGGGAGATCGGCCGGCTCTACTATGGGAAGAGTCCACTCGGTTCGGTCCACCGTGAGCAGAGTACATCATCTCTCCTTTCACATGCCCCGTCGGAATGGTCTCATTGGCAGGTTAATTCGATCTCTAAACCAGGCGTGTCGCAGTTAATTCATCCCACTCCATGTACTTCCCAGTCGGTACCTTACAGAATAACCATCGGGTCTCGAGGTGAAGCCTACACACATCTCTTGACAAAAGGAGGGGATATCCCGCCGAAAAGACAAACGGCTGCACCCGACGGAGTCGTCAATTAGTTCGACCCAACCGGGATAGACTAGCTGGCCACTGCTGCAGACAGCTTATTAGAGCTGCATAAGTCTCCTTGGCGATGCTGCAAGCCGCGCAGGATGAGGACCTCGAACGTCCAGATAGATTGAAGTCGGATTAGAATTTAACCCCAGACGGCGTTCCTTCGGTAAGGCCGCAGATCCACAATTCACCTTCCGCTTCCAGACTGACGCGTCGTCAGCATCGTCCCTTCGATAGCGAAGCGACCCTTTGAAATCAGATCTATTTTGAGCATTACTGGCACAGGGCCCAGCGGGGACCTGGACTCGGCTCAGGGTCATCGCTTGGAGGGGGAATACGGGGAATAAACCACTGCCGGCGGGACCGAGAAGACGGGTATGCCACCATGGTGGTGCACAATAGCGATCGTCAGCAGCGCATCGGTCAATAATGATCCGTTACCGGGGATAAGCCTAACCAGGTAGATGAAGCCGGGCTCCATCGGCGGCCTGCATACTCCTCATGTCGAATAGATGAAATTGAACGCCTGCCATTGGGCAATAACTCCCTCATGGGAGCTTTTCCTTGGCACTTCACTGTAACTTCTCGATTTCAACCATGATGAAGGACCGCAGTGGGGTCGTGACCCTATCAATCCCGCACTAAACAGTTGCAGGATTCTGGAGTATCAAGTTGAGTCACGATTGATAAGCCGGTAACCTTGGGGGGCAAGTCGGTGGAAACCCCCGGATGAGGATTCACCCATATCGATTCAGCCGTCAGATAAGGAAGAAGTGTCTCAACTAAAGAAACACGTCTCGAGCCTTTGCTCACCCCGGAGTCGGACTGGAGAGGAATGCTTTCATTGACTGCCAAGCCAGTACGGCCATGATGGGATGATTGGTGGGGGTTATTTCCTCCAAGCAACAATGAAGTACATGGTCCTGCAGGAACCGGGAGTGTCCGACGCAACAAAGCAATGGCTTCCGAGCCCTTTCCGAGCTGAATAGTATGTCATTAAGTCAATAGGGCCAGCTCGGCGAGGGGCCGGCTGACACTGCTGTTCGAATCTATCGCAGCACAGAATTGAGCAAGTAGGCAGGGTCCTCGTCTTATGTTTGTCAGAGGCATCGTGGCATGATGCTATGGCCTGATCATAATGAGCTCAGAGTGACTATACTCTTGGGCAAGGTCTTCATGCAGTGGGGGCTCGTGGACCCATTTAGCAGAATCCACGAGGCAATGAGCCTATATTCCGATTCCTTAGCGAAGGCTTCCTCGATCATACATAGTCTCTATAACATGTTGATTGGAAGCTTTCAACTGCTACCCTGCACCATGCAGTACCGGGTAAATCTTTGGCCACGCCCTAGATCCCATGTGAGGGAGCTGAAGTGAGAAGTAAGCGAGGGGAATCGGGATGGAGAATAAGCAGTCGGATCAGGTGATCTCTTCTCAAAGATCTAAAGAGCATAGCGCACGCACCAGTCTGTATATCTTGCCATCACTCCCATAGACCACCAGTCCAATACACCTCGAGATCTTCCGTCATTACTAAGTAGATGCCACAATCCTTGCGTGATCTACGCTCCTTTAGGAGCATAGTGTTTCGTCTGATTGTCGCTCGCCTGCCGCAATAATTCACATAAACCATCTTTGCTGAAATATGTTAGACCGCGTGCAGCAAAATCATTCTCCAGACACCCTTTAAAAGGGCTAGGAGAGCCTCTACATGGTTTCTGGGGCTATCTTAAATAAGGCGACAGAGAATTCCAGACTCTCTACTCAGCTGCATTGACAAATGGCCATCTGGAAGCTCTCTCTGCTGACCATATAACCCTTAGATTATGCTTTCATCGTAGAACTCATTTCCACGCTGCCCGTATTTGAGTCATAATTGGCCCATTGGCCATCATTTTGATATACAACATATGAAAATTGGAATTCCGCATTGAACATTGTACTTCAGGACTAGGAAAGATATATGCCATCATGTGCATGAATTCGGGGACGTCTTGCTGGTTACTAAGTGAGACGTGACAGCGTGAGAGGATAGAAAATGACAATACACGTAAAGAGAGCTGATGAAGGAGGCCGTAACGCGAGACACAATAGTATATCAAAGATACAAGCATCTGCGTCTAATATACTACCGTTGCGGAACATTCTACGAGTGTGTTAGCCCATAGTGGCACTCGTTGTTTGTGGTTCCCAGACATATATATTTTGGCTGGGTCCATTGCGCCTGCTACTAAGTAGTATGAATGGTACTACTACTCCAACACAACCATTTATCCAAATAGGCCCTAAAAGGTGCTAAAGATGTAATTTGCCGACAGTATAGTTCAATTCAATATGACTAAACGGTTTCCAGTGACTAGTCACTACTGTCTATAGTATCTATTATCTATATATGAGGATATCCCTCACTACAAATGTCACGGGCTATCATTACTAATCAACCCACCGATGATCGATGAAATAACTCAGTTGAAACGCTCGTGCTTAACTAGCACATTTATTTTTCTGGCCTAATGCATAAATTATTTCAAAATGGTTTATACTAAGGGATCTCACTATCATACCTCTATATATGCCGATAGTTTTGATCATGGGACTACCATACAAAGCGAAAATTCAAAGGGCCTTGCCAAGTAATTGGCCAGGATCCAGTGCTATAGAATGTCTGTTATGGTGGGTTCTAGATGCTAGAGGCTAACCCACTGAGTTTGCACACGGACATGACGAGAGGGGAGCAATTGTAGTCAGGCAAAATGTATCAAACAAAAAGAGAGGTGACTCAAGTATCATTACATGTTTATCAATAGAATTAAATAGCAGTGGTCGTAGAAATATCAACCGCAGGATTTTGCAGAGACACGGCTATAGAGAACTGATGTGGTGTATTGCATGGAAGAGTCAGGACAGAAAGGGATATTCTGAGGTGGGTAACTTCGTCCTGATGCTCTAGATGTCTTCACTGGGTATATCAAACAAGGGTATAATGATTACAGCTTCGCTTTCCGCTCCTTCTTCAACGCTTCGCGGACCGGTTCGATGAAGTTAGCCAACATCTTCTTATCCGCACCGGCATACACATTCGGTGGTGACACATTCCACGGCGGGATGACTCTACGACCGTCCGGGCCAGAGCTGGTAATCTCCACCACTGAACCGCCAGAGTATTTGCCCTGCTGAATAAGCTCGAGCATGTACTCTGCCACTTCTTCCGCCGGGACATGTTTCACTCGGTCATAGGATAGATGCTTGCGGACACCGGGGACGGAGTCCCACAGAGGCGTGGGGACAACGCTGGTTGACGTTAGCGCATGCTCTAGGTAAATCGGAGACTCGAAGGATAAAAGGGGATGAATTACCCTGGACAGATGGAGGTGACTTTCACGCCCTCCAATTGGTCAAGCATGGTCATTGACTTGACGAAGCCCCAGATGGCATGTTTGGATGCGCAGTACAGGGGGCTCCGGATCGAAGCATTTATTCCCGCGATAGAGGAGACCAGACATACGACACCCTTCTTGTCCTTACCCAGGAGAGCTCGGATGGCCAGTCGAGTAAGCTTGATAGGGTGGTTCACGTTGATGTCGATACACGCGTAGTCGGTCGTTTCCGAGTCTTCCCAGAAACTGGACCATGACTGATTTTGAGATCCGTGAGCGAGGAGACCGTGAAATATTTGATGAACCGAGAGATACTTGGTTAGGAAGAAACACGTACGGGTTCAAAGATGGCAGCTGATGCGACATAGACGTCAGGGACATCGTTCCATTTGTCTTGCGAAAGCTGGATGAGGGCTTGCAACTCGGCCCATTTACGGACGTCACAGCGCTGGAAAATGACGGCGTCGGAGCTGTCGACAAACTGTTGGGCTTCGGGAATGAGGCACAGATCGGCAATGATGATTCGGGCGCCTTTGGCGGCGGCCTGGCGGCAGAGCTGCAATCCGATCCCTGAGTGGTGCGTTAGTGTGATGTGGAGAAGGGGTGAAGTGAGGGTCAAATTGAGGCCTCACCGGATCCTCCTCCCGTCACTAGGACGATTTTGTTGTCGACGGGAAAGTCACCGAACATGGTGCTGTAAGACAAG